GCAATATTGCCTATAAATTATAATGAAAAAAATTAAATCTAATATATAAATTATTTACATATAGTATTATAAATGACACATCAAATCTGATATCATACTGGCAATGCCAGCTACCCAAGTTAGTGTGGAAGGATGTTTTTCAACAATTAAATTTATATTATCTCCTTATAGATGTAATTTGAGTGAGACGAATTATGAAAATATATTAATTGTGCAGCTTAATAAAAAAAATTTAAGTAATTGTTCATATTTAAATTAATCATTGATATATTTATTTGTTATATTTATAAATAAATATTATTTTATAATGTGCAATTAATAAAAATGATGATTTTTATTTTAATTATGAAATAAATTTTTTCCTGATACATAATCCTAATGTAGGTTTGAATACAAATGTGTTCAAACAGGTTTTTAGAGGTTCCGAACCGATATTTTTATTTTTTGCGAACCGAACCTGAACCTTAAACCATTATTTTTATCCGAACCTGAACCGAACCGATATTCGTTTCGGTTTGGATCTCTGATTTTGGCAAACAAAATCAATAAATTTTGGTTAATTTAATTCTTTCGCTGTGGCCAATAGCTTTTATTTTATTTTGAGAGAGATTTGAAGAGCCCAATGACCATTGAAGATGGTGGTGCTCTAAAGTATGAAATTCTTCTGCTATTAGAAGGTTACAGTATAATTAGTCTTAAAAGGCGGCTAATAAAATAGGAAAGTTAATATATGTACCTAGAGATGAGGTGAAGCTTCTTTGGTGACGCAAAAAAATGGTAAAGAACACAAGTCAGAATTGTTAAAAAAATACTTATTTTAAGATACATTCAAGGTAAAATTTTTAATGTAAGGTGTGCATAATGTCAAAATATTCAGTTTGATATTTTATTTATATATAAAATATATAATGAAAATGTTATATTATTACTAGCTTTTAATAATAAAATACTTTCAGTTTTCATAAGTAAGGTTTCCTCGCTTTTATCTTTCTTTTTTTCTTTCTTATGATACTTTAGTTTTGCCCAATTATTTTTGAATTTTAATGTCAAATGCCCCGAGGAATTTGCCCAGGAGAAAATTCTTGATTTACCTGAAGTAGGAATGAATAAATCAGCCAGAGCCGAAAAACTCCACCTAAGTAGAGAAACAATCACACAATATTAATAAATTAAATGATCCCTTCAAATCTGCTCGCATTGGCCTCAAGGGTAATAAACGCAGTTTGCAACGAATTATCAGAGAAAATCGTGGATCAAATCTTGTTCATTTGACTCAAAAATTGAAACGACGAATGACTTTATCTATCTCTACCTGCAAAAAATGATTCATTCTTTAGGTTACAAATTTTATAAAATGATTTTAATTTTTATACTTGTAACTGTACTTTTTAGTAAAATGATAGAAAAAATCTCTATTAAGAGTCAACCAAAAGAAGAAACGATACTTTCGCAAAAAATATAAAGATCAGAATTTCTGCCAAATGCTATATTTGCCTTGTACCACATTACTGCGAATACTCTCAAGTTCTAATACAAACTTAGACCGGCCAAAAACAATTTTCGATTAATTAAAAATGTTTGGGAAAATGAAGTATCTAAGCACTGCCTGGTTTTATTCGAGGCAATACCTAGAAGATTCGGCTCGTTATTAAAGCTAAAGGAAATGTCTCGAAATTTTGATTAGTATGTGTTACATCCATGGATTAAGGTATTCAACCTTTTTTAAAAAAATCCTTATTTATATGTATAATAATTATTTAATATTACAATTATGACATTAAAATTTTATCCTATCTTAATAAAGCGTTTATTGCATTATATAAAAGTAAAAAGGCGTTATTTATTTTATTTTGGATAGTATATATGGAAAATTTAATAAAAAAAAGATGTGATTTAATTTTTAAAAAAAATTAGCGATTGATGTTTAATTTTCCTTAAATAAAAAATTAAATATGATTTTTGAGATTTGAAAAATGAAGTAATGATCACTTAACAGTGAATTAAAATAAAATATTAATTAGTAAATACCAAACATAACACAGGAATGTGAAGAGGACTCCAAATATTTAACATAATTGTTTTTTGAATGGTTCGGTCTCATGCTAGAAGGTATTTTGGTTAATCTGGGTAGCTTCTTCAATATGTAAAAATATAGCTCAAAGGTAGAAAAATCTTTAACAGCATAAGAACAATTATACATTTTATTTACCAGTATTCTAATTGCTTGATAAGAGTCGCAGTAAGTTTGTATTTTATTTCAGAGATCGAAATCAAACCGAACCATAAGAATAAGGTAGAAAAGTAAAAAATGGAACCAGAGCCTAAAAAATGCAGTTCTTTCTTAGTAGTCAAAATATATCCATTAATATACAAATAAAATATACCTTTTTTATATTTTATTTTAAATTAACCAACTTTCAAAATCATTCACACATAAATAAAAAAAATTAATAACATTTATCAAATGGTTGGGTCCTATATGTGGAATTCCAGAGGTTTTATCGCAGTTACACTAAATTTACGAGGGTATGTCCCTAATGGTAATCACGCAAAGTTATTTAATTTTTAAATTTGATAAAAGTAATTATAATAACATTGCACTGCCTTATGAACAAAATTTATTTTTTATATCGTTATATTTAGTGTTGTTGACGAACTTAGCCTAAAGCCTGACGCCATAGTTTTCATTTTGTTTATAACTTGGTTTTTTTAGTTACCAAAACTGATTGAGTAATTAATGAATACTAATTGAACATTAAATATTAGCACAAATCTGATTTACTGCAATATTTTCCATCCTGGCATTATACTAATTTTGGTAAATTTTATATTTTTCCAAAAAACCTCTTTTCTATATACTTAGTCTACCAAATGGATTAAAATAATATACAATTAAACAATAAATATTGATAAATTTTTCCGAATAAATGCTTTCAATAAGGTGAGCCAAAAATTTCCCTTTCTATTAGTTAAAGCACTCATAGACACTAGAAACACGAAACATTCACATAGATTTTAGAATTGGTACTTCCAATTGTTAAGTCAACTTTAACGGAGATAATATAAAGTATATATTTTAAAAGAAAATAAAAATAACCATGAGTAAAAAATACTTAATCTGAATTTTAGGCAGGGCTTTGCAAAAAATGGGATAAATATAGGTTAAAAATCTTCGACCCCCCCCCCTCCTGGATAAATCTTAGCTATGCCACTGAATATTACTTAACTTGGGTAATACTAATAATTTATATTTTTCAATATTGTATGTTTTTATTTATTACCTAATTCATATTCTAATCTACTTATTCACCTAGAAATGATAAAAAATGATCGAAATATACAATTTCCGGTTGAATCCCATAATATATGTAAATTCTGATAAAATACGAAGAAAAATTTAAGCCACCACCCCACCCCCTTCATGCCCCCTAATTAAGAATTATAATTATGACCCTGGATATGGACCAAAAAAAGTATAAAAAGTACTGGGTTAAATTTATGACAATTAATAGATTTGTTTTGAATTTCATCAAAACTAGGTCAGGGGTATGGGCTATTTGGATATCCATCAGTTAATAATTCAGATATTTCTGGCCCATGAAAACTAATGTCTGATGTTGACGATTAATAAATTAAATATACCAGTTTTGCTTACTTTAAATGAAACTAGTTAATTTGGTGATTACCTTAACTGTCATATAATCATCCAGATACATATGTCTGCCATTCATCGGTAAAATCAAATACTTGGGCCATTTCCAGACAGGTTTTTTCAAAGCGATTTTTAGGGAATGTTACCAGCAATCAATTTTTTATTTCCAAAAAAATGTTAACTTCTAGAATTAATTTTTTTTATATAACAATATTTCTAAAAAAAAACAATCCGAAGCCACATTTCAAAAGGCCATTTAATCGTTATTAAAATCAAACCAGTTTGTTTTCTATTTATGATTAAAAAAATGGGGATCTAGATTGATTTTTTTATATATAATTAATTCTAGAATTAAATATTTTTCTTGGAAATAAAAAAAAATTGCTGGTAACATTACCAGCAATTTCTGCTTTGAAAAAACGTTCTGGGAAATGGCCATATAGCTCTTTTTAGAGGCATGATTGGATTAATATTCGCGAAAGTCCATTCGATTCATAGCAATGTTTTCTGCTATACTGATCCGAAATTTATATATAAAAAATTAACACATACACATCACATGTTTGAACAAAAATTAGTCTCCAATATTATCTGGAAGTAAAGTTCTTCTTTATTTTTTAATTTTGTCAGACTCGCTGATATTTGTTTATATATCGCAGAATGCCAAAGATGAAATAGATGAATAAAAATTTTTCTTTTCGGATTGTATAATATTTTTTTAGAAAAATGCCAGGTAAAATACAATAACATTTTCATTTCTTACAAGAGAGAGCAAAAGTAATATAAGTATTTTTAAAATATTTAAACATCAGTCCGAAAAATTGAGAAGCATGAGGGTAAAAGGCTGACAAATTTTACGATAAATTAAAACAATAATTTATGTATTGACGCTTAAGAGTTAGATTTTCCCATATCCACTTTTTTTCAAAAATGATAAATCAATTTTTTTATAATTATACTTATTCTATTTACATTAAAATATCAGAAATATTTATAAAATAAATCAAATTATAGCCAATATAAGGTTAACTATCCTATTGAGAACAAAAGAAATTTAATTTTTAAAATTATTCTCTTATAAAATTACAAAAAGTGGAAATGGAATAATCTAATTCTCAGGCTACGATATTTTATAAATAAATATCTAAAAATTTTATTGCAAAATTGCATCGAAAAGTTATTCAACTAAACATTTAGAAAGTTGAATAATTTTATATATCAGAAATAAAAAGTATAGGCCGATACCGACAATTCGGTACATCCTTGGTTCCAATTTATAATAAATTATATTTTTTTGTATTTCACAAAATTTTATTTTGATTCTCGATAAATATTATCAAAATAAATTTATATAATTTTCTAAATAACAATTAACCAACATAACCAGAAATTTTTAAATACAATGACTACAAATTAGCATAGTTTAAAAAAAAAACATTGTCTAAAAAATATTTAATAAAAAACAAAAAAGATTTTTCAAACATCGAGACAAATGTTTTCCTATCGAATAGCTGCTCTTTTAAGAGTGTCGCATACGACCAGTCCTTTACCTTGTACAGAGAAAGGTTTATCTCCCAACATAGCTACCATTCGATCCGAGGTCTTCAAATGAGGCGATATTTTTGCAAAATAGTCCTTTTTGATTTCTTTTGCCTGGATTTGAGCTTTGTGTGGGTTAAAAGAATAAAATGTTTTTATTAAAGTGATCACTAGAGAGGGTTGTTAAATTATGATCCCTTTGCCAATCGATTTTAAATAGTTGAGGGATCGAACTGAATTAAAATAAATTAGTAGAAATGATGAAATAAGAGATTGGGGTGATGGTGTGGAGAAATTCGCAAAGATGTTAATTTAATATATTATATGTTAGAAGCCTGCAAAATCAATTTTTTAACCCAAAGCCTGGTGATAAATTCATTTATTTTATCTATTTTCATTTCATGCAATAAATTATAATTTAATGTTATCTATTTTATTCTCTCTAATTACAAAATGATATGAAAATAAAAATATTCTTTTTTTATTTTACTCAAAATCCTAAATTCTGCCTCAAAGGAACGTGGGAGTGGCAATATCTCCTAGATACTAGTACGTTTAAAGTTCCCTGTAATCTGGTATAGAATATGATGACCGTTTCCTCAAAATTTTTGATGGGGAAACCACCTTTCGTGAAAATAGACATGTAACGGCTATAAATGATACAAGCAGACACCGGACAGCTAGACAATATAAGAAACAGAATACTGGTAGCCTAAGAGTTAAAGTTGGCGAGATAATGGAAGCGCTAAACATAGGGAGTGTAGATACATGCTAGGTGCAAGAGATAAGATGGAAAAACAATTGATGATTACAAGTTTTTCTAGCAGGGATGTGATGAATGATTGCTGCTGAGAAGTGAGTCGTTAAAGTATTGAATGCGGAGAGATTGAACGATAGTATATTAGTAATTAAAAATGATCATTGGTAAAAGAATATTTAACGTTATTTCAGCTAATGCACCCCAAGTCGGTAAAAGTGATGAAGAAAAAAGCAAATTTTGGGACAGATTATTTATTAGACATCAGATATGCCTAATGGGAAGCAATTATGATCAGCGGGGACAAATCATATCTCACTCGCTTTTTTAAGTTATTCAATTTAGACTAGAGGCCTATAAGAGACCAAATTCTTTGACCATCCCGATCCCTAGAAAGGAAAAACCTTTACCTGACCAGAGCTGAAAATTTTAAATAAAAATTCCGGACCCAACCTGAGTCTAAACAAAATCATTACCTTAAAAATTTTTTTCCCCAGTTTATTATAAAAATAATTTAGAATGAACGAAATCGTAAAATAATATATAAAATAAATGTATGATTTATTGATATGACTAAATAAATTCAAAATTGTAAAAAAATCCAAACCCGACCCATATAAAAAAGAATCAAAATTCTATGAGGGTTTTAGGGTCGGGTCGGGGTTTACATCTAATATGGAAACTCTCGAAAAAGCTTAATTTAATTATGAATTTTAAATATAACATACGCGTGCCGTCGAAAATGATACGATCCCCAGGAACCGATTTAGGTGGTGGTTTTAAAATTTCTAGCTTGTCTCCATCTACAGCGCACATAAGCATCCCTTGGGAAAATATACCCCGCATTTTAATAGGTTTAAGGTTGCACAAAACTACCACTTTCCTATCAATGAGCTTCGAACCAATGAATGAAAGAGTGTAAAAAAATAATCAAACAAATATAATAAAAAAAAGTAATCTTATTTAATATATCCCTATTTTATTTTATACTTTTAATCTTACAAAAAAAACGAAGGCGAATGAGTAATTTATTAATTGTTACATTGAATTGGGCAATATTTTAAAATATTATGGGTTAATAACGTAAAAATCAGGTCTGTCGGCCCAGAACGTAAAACGGTAAAATTTTTAGATCTAAGCCAGACTTAAAAATAAAATTAAACCAAAGCCAAGCCTAAAAAATTTTAATCCTAGGGTTTTGCCAATTTTTTTAATGTAATTGACTAAATATGGCCAAAATTGTCAAAATGATCAGAAAAGAGTACAATATGAGACTGAGTCATGCTAAAGCAGGCGAGTACGCCGTACGCAGCGGAAGGGGGGAGGAGAGTAAGGGGCAAACTCCTTAAAGCCAAAAAATTTAGAAACCGGATTAAAAATTTAATTTTATAATAATTATTTTTACCTCTTATCGCAAATATATATTTATCATAGTCACAGCAGAAATAAATACGTTAATAATTTATTCTATGATTTAATATCGATTTCGAATTTTCTTTGGTATTATATTTTTCCATCTTTTTAAATTTCCCACCTTATCATTTGAAATATATTGGAACTTAAGCAAATTAGGGCAAATGTAGATGACGAATTTCATAAATTATGTCATTGTTGAGTCGCTCTATAAATTTAATATTTGTCTACCTCGACTCGCAGTAATGTAAGTTCATCGTTCCAATATTAATATAAGGGTCTGTCGAAAAAATACCCCCACTTGGATACTTTTCTAACTCAAATAAATGAAAGTTCTTGATTAATCAGGCAACACTTACAAATCTGCAAATATTATTATCGCAGAATCCTTCTTAAACTTAATATTTTAGGCGGAAAAATATTGCCTAAGCCTTGAGATTTCGTTAAAGGATGTCCAAACATCTATGCGGTTTATGAGCAAAATCTTTAAACCTAAATAATATTTCCCAATCCATAATGTCAATAAAGGCTCTTTCTCTACTCTATAGCTATCCGTCTTTATAACAACCGTTTATGAATCTGGTTTTGATATCTGGATTGTGCATTTGCAATTGATTATATAATAAATTATTTGTTTGCTTAATTTTTGTAAATTTACTATCTTCGTTAGACCGTTTTTAAAATACAAAGGAATAAGCATATTGTAATTTATTTTCAAACAGTATTCATCAAAATCAAGATATTAGCATGAAAATAAAAATAAAAATCAACATTTTAATGTCCAGGTTGACCCATCAAAATTTTATGAAATAGTCCCGCCTATGATTTTATATAAAATTGGAAATGCATTACTTTATTTTATTTATAAATTCAATTTAGTTAAGCAGTTCAAAATGAAAAGAAATAGGATGATTGTTGTTATTTCAAAGAACATTTAATCAAATTCAAAGTCAGATATTTGCGAGGCCCGGCCCAATTTTTGATGTGCTAATTGTCCGGCCCGAACTTGGCAGATCTCTGATCTAAATTTTTATTACCTGAGTAATATATTTTACCATCAACAAAAGTAAAAAATGTTGGTTGTATTAATTATTTCTAAGAAGATTTAATAAAAATTATACATTTTAATTTTAAGATTTGCTAGACAAATAAAATAGATAGAAAAAGTACCATAGACAAGGATTAATTTATTATAAAAATGCAATAAATGATTTTGATTTCAAAATTATGTTTGATATAAAATTGTTTTAACCTTTATCAGATATGTATATATAATCTAAACTCAATAATTATTGATTGCTATTACACAGTTTAGATTCAAATTTGCATATTAGAAACAGAATCAAATAGTGGATTATTTGCATTGGATTCGTTTACATAACCAAATAATTTACTATTCGCATGAATAATAAATTTAAATTTACTATTTGTACTCGAATAAATCGTTATTTTTAAATATTATAAAATAATGCATACGAAAATATATTGAGTTATTTTTATTGTACTTCTAATTTTAAACAGAAAAAAAAAATTAATCTGATGATAAATACATGCGAAGGTAATTACTGGAAATTAAAATGCAAAATTTAGTTTATAATGACAAGTCAATTTTTAAGGCTAATAGTTTTTCTTATTTTTCCTGTTTTATAAAGACAAGCAATTTTTTAAGAGCAAATTCCCTCAGGAATTCGCATGAACATTTTGTTTAAATAAAGGTACACGCAACAAACGCAGTGCAAAATATGTCATTAAAAATATATTTATATGAGACTTGTAAGGAATCTAAAACACATGCAAAAATTTTAAATTTTACAGAAAATTTTGAAGTAATGGTTTGAAAAATATTTTTGGGTAATGAGGTATACTGCTCAATGCCCAGTTGGATAATGTATTTAAACATCATTCTTTTGGGCGCCATTTTTAAAATATGAGGCTTACATTATGATATGCTTAATTAAAAAATCTTAAATTTCATTAAAAATCGATTTAAAAAAATGGAAATAAAATATATTTTATGAATTATTACCACATATACTTAGATATTATGAGAACAATCCTCTATCGTCAATATTGTAGATTATTTTGCTTAACATAAGGTTAAAAAATCTTAAACTTCATCAAAATAATAAAAAAAATATATATATATTTTATACAATTATCATATAACTCGGGCGGTGCCGATATTTAATATCGGATCGTATCAACACCGATATCGTTTTCAAAAAATATCGGGCCGGGCCGATCCGATATTTTTTATTGTTTTGGGTTATTTATAATTGTATATATAATCATATAATATTTTTTATTTTATAAATAATTTCATAATAAAAAATTAATGCTTAAATAGTTTAAAATTTTACATTTTTTGTTATAATATCTGCAAAAAGAAAGGATTTTAAAATATGTGAGTCACATTCAGTTAGTGTTGCTAAACGGTTCGATTTAGCCAATTTTAAAATCGATTTCCTCATAATTTTAGCCAAAAGTAAATTACCCATGCTTATTAATTTTTCCCACAGATATCAGAAAGGTTTGGACTTCTATTGACGAAATTTCTAGGCATAGGCAATAATATTTTGGTTAAAATTTTGATTTGGCCCTTTTTAAAAATCAAAGGAGTTGTTTAACAACAACACTACATTCACAATAAACTTTGCAAATATCTTAAATATGAATATTAACTTATGAAAAATAAAAAATACACTTAATCATTAGTGAAAGTTAGTTAGTTTTTTTTAAAGTAGAAAATATTGATATATTTATGACATAGATAAGATATTTGGTAAATAAAAATCAATATAAATATCGGATCGGTATCGGAATAGGATCGGTTTTTTAGTAATATTGGACAATATCGGATCGGATTGATGAAAAATTTGTGGATCGGCACAGCCCTACACATATCATAGATATTATATGAGAACAATTCTTTATATTAATATTGTAAATTATTTTGCTTAAAATAAGGTTTAAAAATCTTAAATTTCATCAAAAGCGATAAAAAGGTAAATAAATATATTTTATGCAATTTACCATATATACTTATATATTATTTGAGAACAATCCTTCATCATTAATATTGTAAAAAGGGGCGGACTGAGAGACTAAAGACCCCGTGGGAAATTTCTAAGAAAGGCCCCATAGTTGGGGACTTCGCCCCGCAAAAAGATTTTATTTAAAATCTAATATACTATATTAAAATTTAAAATAATTTTTATCTTTTTAATATTTATGTATATGATCATTTTAAAAGAATTACTCGTCCTTTGAGTTAATTGCATTATTCATTATTCATCATTAATTTATTAACTTTTGTGATTATTACTTACTAGCTAATAAACCGTCAAGAATGACGGGGTTGAGGGGTAATTAGTAAGTTTTTCTCCCTACTTATATGATAGTTGTTACCTGTTATTTGAAAATAATATCTTTTTATTCTTTATAACACCCTCCCCCTTCAGGCCAGGTCCCCAGGCCTGCAAAATAATTTTTTTTAGGTAAATGTCTGATCCATAGTTGATAATAGAATTCCCAAGCGTCCAAGCTGATAATAATCTTGAAAAATTTTCCCTAAGCCCAGTCCAATATAATTCATAAAAACATTTTCCAAGCCCAGCCCCATCCATAATTTTAAGAAAATTTTCTTTTTAAATATATTTTTACTCAAAAAAATAGTATTCACTATTAGTCCTAATGAGTTGGTCTTAGTCTGAAGTAGGATTGAGCGGGATTAAAAAGAATAAAAAATGAATATGGTTTTTAGAGATTTACCTAACTCCAGGCTTGAGAAAAAAATTTCAAAATTATTACGCGTTGGCCAGGTTTGAGAAAAATTTTTTAAAATTATTATGGGTGGGGCTGGGCTTGGAAAATATTTTTATGAATTATAAATATTATGCCTAATATCTAATATAAAAAAATTCCGAACAGGTTCATGCTCATAATCATGTTGAGAAAATTTTCTCAAGCCCGCCAAAGACCATAATAATTTTTGTAGTTAAAAACTGAAATAAAATATATAAAAATCATAATTCATTTAAAAATACAATCAGAATATGAAAGTTGCATGAGCCTTGGTTTTTTGATCAGGCCTAACTATGTCTGCAAAAAAAAATTTTCAGGCCAATGTCTACTAACCCATATTTAAAATTCAAAAATCTTCAAGCATCTCTAATTTAAATTTTATCCAAAATGATTTCCATCACAAATTTAAATTTTGATATTTCTAATACTCAAATGCTCACTATATTGCAACAATTTTACCTCTTTTTCTCCTAAATTTTTATATAAAATTTATTAATAAAATATATTTAGTATCATACACACAAACTAAATAATTACCCTTCAACACCGTCAGCTAGTTATGGTAATAAACGGCAAAATTTTAAAAATATCTGCTATTAATTAATATATATATAATTAATATTTTAAATTTAATTATATTCAAGTTGGTGCATGCGTAAAGCATTCGCCTTTGAAACGGTAGGTTTGTGGTTCGACTCTCGT